CAGGTTCGGTTCCTGCTAGGGGCACGTACCAAGAAAAATAAAAATAAATAAAATATCACATTTATAAAGAGCTATATAAACAGATGAGTAAATCCTGGGCTAAATGACAATATCTCTATCATGACAAGTTGCACATAAAATCTATTTCATCACTTCTCAATTGCAAGTCCATTAGTCAACTGAAACCACAGAAACAGAATCTTTGGGCACTGGACTCCAGAACTATGTTTGGCTTAGACAACTGTGTCTGGGGAACTTGCTTGACAAGGAAAGTTGTGCAATTAAAATACACTATCACCTCTGTTCTTTAACTTCTAGTTACACTTTTCAAGTCAAAAGTAGAAACATTTACAATTCAATGTCATGTCATTCAATTGACTCACACAATCTTAATTATAGGTTGGAAAAGTTATTGATCAGTCACATAGAAGTACTGACAGCTAATACAACCTAAATGTTCAGATTATAAAGAAAAGGTGAAAAATTAAGGGCCTTGTTACCAGTGTATCCTGAATAATGCTCACCCACCAAATTCTGTATTGACCTACTTTGTGATTTGACATACCCATAGTCAAGAACAAGAAGTCAAATTCTAAATGGCTTCCAAAATGTCATTAACATAAATTATATTAAAATAAAATTTAGTCCTGGCCGGTTTAGTTCAGCAGTTAGAGTGTTGGTCTGTGGACCAAAGTATCCTGGGTTTGATTCTTGCCAAGGGCATGTACCTCGGTTGTGGTTAGTCCCCGGCCCTGGTTGAGGTCATGCAGGTGGCAACCAATCAATGTGTCTCTCTCATATCAATGTTTTGTTTTTTTTTTCTCTCTCTCTCCCCCTCCCACTCTGTCTGAAGATAAATGTAAAAATATCCTTGAGTGAGGATTAAAAAAACAAAACAAAAATATAAATTAAATAAAATTTTAAAATATTAACAACATAATCCCTATACAAAGTGAAAACTAAAGATTTATATAATTTATTAATAAAGGACCCAGAAATGTGGTTGCTTAGCTCTAGGAATAAGGTAAAAACCATTGACTTGTATACCCTAGGTAGGTGAACTGTGTGCTATGCATATTACATCTCAATAAATCTGCTATGAGATATATATACTTTGAATAAACAGAACAAATAAATATATAAATAAAGTTGAAAACTGGGGTTTTCATAGTTACTTAAACAAAAATAATGAGATTGGCAAATTGGAGATACTTTTGTTCAATGTCCTGCCAGGTAATAAAGCTGTAACATTTCAAGTTTTATTTTCCAGTAGGGGAAAAAAAATAATCACACTTATCTGATTTATATATGTTAAATTCTAAGTTGACATGAGTTATAAAATATAGTAAATGTATATTATAAGTCAACCAAATTTGCATTCTTCTAGGTTTGTTAGACAACACCCTACATTATAGTGAATGTCACAGGCATCTTTTGTCTTAGTCCCATGTCTTAGGTCATTTTGCTTAACAAATCGTTCTCATGAGCATACCATAGTGATTTGGTCCCTCAGTTTCGTTAAGCAGATAATGACAAGGTATTTCATCCAGCTAAACACATGGAAACAGATAATCTAAAAGAGAAGATATTTCAGAACTAAAGTCACAAGAAATCATACTAAACAAAGGAAAACTTGACCAAGCTACTCTTAAAAGTTATTAGGATTTTCAAAACTATGTTAGTTAGCAACTACAGTATTAATAGAGTAATTAAATGTACATACTTGGTGGATACAGTACTTGAAAGACAAAAGCAAAGATGCCAAAAAGTTGTCTGGACTTACACATCCAGTGAAAGAGATAAAGCATTAATGAGACAGTGACATAGCGGAATGACAAACCCATGATTAGTAAAGACACACTCACAGAGCTGCCAAATCATAGCTAATCCACACAGTTGATGGGAAAGAAAGAAAAACCAACAGAATTAGGAAACAGGCTAATGTAATCCAATTTAAGAAGCATCAGCATACCAGAGGTCAGACAATTATGCAAATAGAGTAGAAACCTTATTCAGGAAAGAAATTAAAGTCAATTTTCTGGATGTTGAAAAGAGTCAATTATCATGCAGCTATCTTAGAGGAATGTGAAAAGCCATATATAACAACTGTCACTGAAATGTCCCTGGGCATCTATGTATTTTAAGTACAAAATACAGGAATAAAAAGTTTTTTGCTTTTGTTTTTTTTAAAGAAAGGAGAGGAAGAATATAAAGGTATTATTGAATATTCTATTCTATATTTTTATGTGGATGAAATTGCCTGAGAATAGTCACTTAGATGGATACACAAAAAATCCTGGGTGAAATGTGTATCAGACCCCTCTAAAAGAAAGTACATTACGCCTTGAAAGTGAAAGGCAGAACTTGGCAAATGACTGGCCCAACATTCTAATTTTGCCACAGGTTCCACCAAAGAATTTTCTTTGGCCACCAGCAGAAATTAAAAAAAACGCAACCTACCGCACCACCAAACTAAAACAGTGCAGATAGGGCAGTAAGACCGAGACCAAAAGCCTTTGTCCTGACGCCACCAACCTCGGGCCAGGAACTTGTTTACTGATAACAGAAGATATAAACGAAATAATTGGCTGGTGAGTTGAGAGCAGCCTGTTCTTGTTCTCGCCCATCTGTTTCTTTTGACTGTGCATCTTGGCTTCTGGAGACCGGCAATTCAGGGAACAGGCTGCATCTAACTCTCGAGATAAGTATGAATGCTCAAATTCAGGAGACAAGAAAGCCTGGAGGGAAACCAACCCAAAGCTAAAGGAAATGGAGCCACTAAGAAAAACAGAATCTGGCAAAACTGTTTTTCCTCTTAAAAGCAGATAGTAGCTATTTAAGGAGCTACAGAAATTGAAACAATTTCTCAATGAGCTGAAAAGGTCCAGACAGAGATCCAAAATGGCAGTGGAGTGAATGGGAGCTACACAGACAATCTCCCAGGACCAAACTGGAATTACAACTAAAATAAAGACAAGTCATCTGGAAACAACAACTGAAGAGCAGCTGGAGAGAACCCTTGTAACCAGGGACATAAAGAAAACCCCAAATTGAGACGGGTATGAGGTACAGAGGCACAAGGGGGCTGGCTGGATTCCCACAGGCAGCAGCTGAGGGCTATATTAGCTGTGAGAAGCTCCCTCTGAGAAGTTGGGGGTTAAATCCCCAGGCCACCTCCCCAGCACAGAGTGGCAGAACAGGGAAAGGTGCCCACATAGTACCTGGCTGAGAAAATCACCAGAGCAGAGGTTTTGTCAAGCAGGGAGAGGCGCAGGGAACACCAGCACTTCCCAGAAGGGCCAGGGCACTAAATTACAGCTACAGCCCCTCACCTTGAGCTCCAGCAGAGGGAGGGTGGACTGGACTAGAACTGTGTGAGGAGTCGGGTTTGTGGCACTGGGGAGAGAGCTGGGAAGGAGGCCATCAGGAGGTCTTTGCTGAGTCACTCCCCCACAGGACTGTAGCCATTTTCCTCAAAGAGCCCCTTCCCAGAGCAGCTGTAGCCTGGAAGAGAAGCAACTGCCCTTCCCTCGGGAATTTAACACCACCTCCCTGAAAAGTGCAACATGAGGCTCATTAACAGCCAAGAACTACCTGCCAGCCAGTAGGCAGAGAAGAGCCTCTGAAATCTTTGAGCATTGGACCTGACCCTCAGGGTTGGGTGTCCTGGCTCTGGGGTCTGAGCTGTAAAAGACTGAGGCCTGGATCCCTTCTGCAATACCTACATTGCAGAAACCACTTTCTTCTCAAAGCAACTTTAACCCAGGGAAAAGCAATTGACCCACCTGCTGGAAATTGCACAGAGAGCCCTAAGTAAGAAGAACCCAAAGAGGCCCATACCAAGACACATCATAATTAAAATGCCAAAAACAAAAGAGAAAATCTTAAAGGCAGCAAGAGAAAAGCAACAGGTTAGCTACAAAGGAGTCCCCATAAGGCTCTCAGCTGATTTCTCAACAGAAACACTACAGGCCAGAAGGGAATGGCATGAAGAATTCAAGGTCATGAAAAACAAGGATCTGAATCCAAGACTACTCTATCCAGCGGGGCTACCATTCAAAATAGAAGGTGAAATAAAGAGCATTCCAGACAAAAAAAAAAAAATGATATTAGATGTTAAGTATATGAAACTATAAAAATTTATGGACACATTAATGTTTAAACATTAGAGCAACAAACCACCCTGAAGAAAAGATATTAAAATTGTAAATATAATATCTGAAAACCTCACAAGAACATCACAGCAGACTGAACAAATAATAAATTTAAAATCTTTTCAATAAACCAGATCCACCGATCAAGATTCCTTATTGATACAATACCTCTGAATCTCTTAAGGACAAATGGTAAGGTATAATTAGCTGTATCTTAGAAAAAATTGTTCATTTCTGTTTGCCATTTTTACCTGTCCCCACTCATTTTAATCTTACAAATATTATGATGTCCAATCAATTTCTATACAACTCTGTGTACTGTTTTGTAACGTTTGCCTCATAGGCCACTTAATATATATTTATTATTGATGATTAGTGATCAATAAAATGCTTGTTGAATAAACATATACATGCCATTTTGAGAACAGTAGCAATAATATGACAAAATAGCACATTTGTTGAAAAGAATTCCAAATGTATGAATAGTAGTTTCTTTTCTCCCCACAGCCTGAATAGAACACAATCCTCCTTTCTTTTTTTTTTTTTTTAATTGATTTTTTTAGAGAAAGAGGAAGGGAGAAAGAGATAGAAACATCGATATGAGAGAGAAATATCAATCAGCTGCCTCCTGCACGCCCTCCACTGAAGATGGAGCCTGCAACCAGGGCATGTGCCCTGACCAGGAATTAAACGGGGACCTCTCAGTCCATGAAACCAAGCTCAATCCACTGAGCCACACCGGCCGAGCACAACCCTCCTTTCTTTAAAATTCAATTTATCAATTAAGATTACAAACAATTTAATAAATACCAAATAAAGTTTTTTAAAAAATGCATTTCTACTGACCTTGTAAGAAAGTAAGGGGAGAATGAAGCTGGATTATCCTGCTCTGAAAAGAGGGGCATGGACCCTCCCATTATCCACAGGCGGAAGTACAAAACAACAGTCACCTTCGGGGAAAAGAAGATTTGGTAAGAAAAATTTCTAAAAAATCCATGTAAAATGAGTAGGAAAGATGGAAATAGCTAGGGAGGAAGAATAAATAATGAAGGTGATAAGGAAGCAGCAAGCAAATTCTTACTACCAGTTGTCGGTATCACACACTGACTAGTAAAACTTAGCAAACGTACTAGTAAACTTTAAGACCCAGGAGCTGAACCTGTTATTGCTCTGCACTGCCCAATTTCATAACCATTCTACTCACATAACCCCATAAAATATAATAGATAATACTGTTGAACCTTTTTTTATTGAACTTATTGGGGTGACATTGGTTCACAAAACCATACAGGTTTCAAGTGTACAACTCAACAAAACAGGATCTGCACACTGCATGGTGGACCCATCATCCCAAGCAATCTTTCTTTCTGTCCCCACTTCCTCCCCTTTGCCTACCTCCACATACCTACCCTCCCACCCTCTTACCCTCTGTCTAACACCGCACTGCTGTGTCTATGTGTTATATATATGTGTGTATGTGAGTGTGCGTGTGTATGCTTTTATGCTTAATCCCTTCATCTTCTTATATCCAGCCCCTAAAACCCCTCCCCTCTGACAGCTGTCAGTCTGTTCCATGAATCCATGCTTCTGTTTTGTTCATCAGTTTATTTTGTTTATTAGATTCCACACATAAGTGAGATCAGTTATTTGTCTTTCTCTGACTGGCTTATTTCACCTAGCATAGCAATCTCCAGTTCCATCCATGCTGTCGCAAAAGGTAAGATTTTCCTTCTTTTTTTATGACTGAGTAGTATTCCATTGGGTAAATGTACCACAGCATTTTATATTATTAAAAAAATGTTTAATGTTGGCATTATTGCAGAAGTGTTTTATTATTGCAGGACTCTGTCTTCCCCTTCTTTGGCTTTTACCAAATTACTGACCATGTCCATCCACTCTTCTACTGATGGGCACTTGGACTGTTTCCAGACCTTGGCTATTGTAAACAATGCTGCAATGAACATAGGAGGTGTGTATGTTCTTTCAAATTAGTGTTTCAGGTTTCTTGGGATATATTCCTAGAATTGGGATCACTGGGTCATTAGCCAGTTTCATTTTTAATATTTTGAGGAAACTCCATAGTGTTTTCCACAATGGCTGGACCAGTCTGCATTCCCACCAACAGTGCATGAGGGTTTCCTTTTCTCCATATCCTCGCCAGCACTTGCTGGTTGTTGATTTATTTATGATAGTCATTCTGATAGGCATGAGGTGGTAACTCATTCTGGTTTTAATTTGCATCTCTTTGATAATTAGTGACATTGAGCATTTTTTTTTCATATGTCTGTTGGCCATCTATAGGTTCTCTTTGGAGAAGTGTCTAATCAGGTTCTTTGCCCATTTTTTAATTGAGTTGTTTTTTTCTCGGTGTTGAGCTGTATAAGTTCTTGATATATTTTGGAAATTAACCCCTTATCAGATATATCATTGGCAAATACATTCTGCTACTCAGTGGGCTCCCTTTTAATTTTGTTGATGGTTTCTTTTGCTGTACAGAAGCATTTTGGTTTGATGTACTCCCAGTTGTTTATTTTTTCCATTGTTTCCCTTGCCTGAGGGGATATATTGGCAAAAATATTGCTATGAAAAATGTCTGAAATTTTATTGCTCATTTTCTTCTAGGATTTTTATGGTTTCGTGACTCACATTTAAGTCTTTAATCCCTTGAGTGTATTCTTGTGTATGGTGTTAAGTTGGTGGTCTAATTTCATTATTTTGCATGTATCTGTCTAATTTTTTCCCAACACCATTTTTTGAAGAGATTGTCTTTACACCATTGTATATTCTTGCCTCCTTTGTTAAATATTAATTGACCATAAAGCCATGGGTTCATTTCTGGGCTTTCTATTCTCTTCCATTGATCTATAGTCCTGTTCTTGTGCTAGTACCATGCTGTTTTGATTACAGTGGCCTCGTAGTATAGTTTGATATCAGGTAGAGATATACACCAACTTTGTTCTTCTTTGTTAAGATAGCTGAGTCTATTCAGGGTATTTTGTGACTCCATAGAAATTTTTGGAATATTTGTTCTAGATTTGTGAGATATGCCATTGTTATTTTAATAGGAATTGCATTGAATCTGTAGATTGCTTTGGGAATTACAGACATTTTAATGAGGTTAATTTTCCTATCCAACACGGCATATGCTTGCACTTACTTGTTTCTTCCTCAATTTCAATACTGCTGAGTCTTCAATGAATACATCTGGAAATGTTACAACCCTTGAATGCCTTGAAGCAGAACGCTCATGAGGGGTTATTTCAACAACCCCAGGGAACAATTTTTGTGTCACCCAATGGAATTTCATGACTAACTGGTTCTATCCTGTTTCAAAGATACTGGGGAATTCTTTACAGAAATGTTTTGCCCCTTCTGCTGAAATTGTCCAATCAAAGGTCTCTACCTCATTCAATTTTTTTGTTCTCGTCTTCTTTCATAAACATGTTTCAGTGTTGAGAAAGACACTCACATTAATTGTTAACATTAAATTCAAAGACATTTTCATATGTTTCCTATCAAAACTTATTATAAATTTTGACAGGGAATTTATGAGAAACAGCAACAGCATAAGAGTTTGGTCTCCTAACTCCTTGGACAGAAACATCCAACAACAGAAAAGGATGATTAATGCAATAGTACCACATAAAGCCACCAAGAATTTTTAGCCTCTTTGTATAAGCATTCTGCTTTTCTTACCAAGAAATGAAGGCAATTTTTCTGGCCCTTAGATCTGGGTTGGGCTTGTGACTTACATCAACCAACAGAATGTGGTAGAAGGTACACAGTGTCAGTTTTGGGCCTAAGCCTACAGAGGTCCTGCAACTTTGTCCCCTTCTTTTAGAACCCAGCTGCCAGGCTGTAAAGAAGTCCTGGCTATTCTGCTAGCAAGAGCAGCCATAGGGAGGGGCCCTAGAGGATGTGATATCAGAGAGAGACCACCTAGCCCAGCTGACAGTGGCATGAATTTGCTTGAGTAATCCCAGCCAAAGACCATAAAGAAAAACCATCCAGCTGGATGCTGCCCACACGAAAGCATTGAGGGCAGATACACGGTAGTGATTGTTTCAAGCCACTACATTATGGGGTAGCTTGTCTGCAGCAATAGCTAACTGATACGGGCAGGTGTGACAACTCAGCATCAGCAATTTGAAGGAAACCTGTAAGATACTGTGGTTCACACTGTCTGTGTCATGGAGTTCACATACCCCTAGAATTCTTTCACACATGCCTTCTAATGCTTTGCAATGCTCATGGCATGTTAACTCTTTGATTCTAAGATCAAGGTGTTAGAATCTATTGTCGATTCTATTAAATAATCTGGATCTGCCTCTGAACCAAGTTAAAGTGAACCATCCCTTATCAGATACTTCAAAAGCATATATATACTTACATAACTTATGACCAAAATGGCCCTTTTTAAGAATGGCCTCATGGTAAGCAGGAAATTTCTATTACTGCTTGCTGTCAAATACCTAAAACAAGAAAGAAAAAAAAATTTTTTACATAAATGTCAGAATCCACCACACATTAACGTTCTTCTTTCAGTTCGAATATGCTGTAGCTCTGAAAAAGTCTAGAAGAGCAAAGTCAGGGGTGTGGCTTCTGGAGCCAGACCACCTGGGTTTCCGTGCCCCAGCTCTGCTGCTTCCTGTCTGGAAGACTTTGGGTAGGTTTCTTGACCTCCTTGCACATCTACTTTCCTCACTTATAAAAGGGGGAATGATCATATTATCTACTTCACAGAGAAGCTGTGAGGAAGAAATGAGATAATATAGGGAACATTACATTCAAAGGCATTTTCATTGCACTGTTAGCTATAAATATTACTGTCTCATTTAATTACAACAATCCAGGCATTCCGGCAACTATATGGTTACACTGGTCACAGGGATGATCTTAAACAAAATAGGAGTTTATTTACCTAGTTCATGAGTTTGAGAAATACAATGTCTTCTACCCACAAAAGGGTTCACAAATATCTTACCCCTGAAAACAGAGGATGCCAGGCTGTGTGAGATTAAGTCATTTATCCAAGGTAACAAAGTTAGGAAGCACTGGTGGTGGGATCACCCATATGCGAGGGATAACTTTCTCACCTGCCATGGCTTTTGGAACCAAACTAGGTTATAAGAATGTCAACTTCTAGTGGAACAGGAACTTGTGTGGACCTGCATCTGCCACAGAGCACTCATTGAACACAGTGGGAGTACCAAATATCCACATAGAGGACATGTGATTGGCTGGCTTTAATGAAGACAATGAAATGGAAGCCTGGGGGGCTGTTAACAAACCCCCAGAAAAAGTAACGCACAGCATTTTCATCTACATGCAAATGTCTGTATTTTAAAGTATAGAACGGAGACCAGCTGATAGATTGAGGGTCGCCCCATGGACTGAAAGGTTCCCATTCAATTCCTGTGAGGGCAAATGCCCTGGTTGTGGGCTTGGTACCCAGTAGGGGGCGTGCAGGAGGCAGCCTATTGATGTTTCTCTCTCACATTGATGTTTCTCTCTCTCTCTTTCTAAAAAAAAAAAAAAAAAAATCAATACAAACATATAAAAAAACTTTTAAGTACAGAATGGAGGGGGAAAAGTCAAACCCAACAGCATCATCCAGCAAGCATTTTCCAGCTCCTCCTTATCTCCCCTACCCTTTTTAATTTGTTAAATACTGTCTTAAATCCAATTCTAAAATAATTCATCCCCAGAATCTCTTAAAATCTGCATTTGAATGAGGTCTCCTTAAACAATGGAACTATTCTGTAGGACAGAGATCCTTTTTTTAAGACCCGAGTGGGTTAGTATCAGAAAGAAATGTCCACCTTGGCAATTGCTTAAAATATATGTGGTTCTTCTATTCTAATCAATATACACAAAATATGTCCAAGTGGCACTGTAAAGAGGGGACAGTGTCACTCAGAGTGTGGTCGCTTCCTTTTTGCTTCCCTCTTCCTCTCCTGGTTCATACCCAGCTGTCACACATTGAAGGAGTGGGGAAAGGTGAGCTCAGAAGACATTACCTAGAGTCAGCTTTTAGCAATTTCTAGACGGAGCCATCCCAGCACTACACTGAAATCTCTTCTTCTCCCTTAGCTCTCAAAAGAGAGCTCGGCACGGAGGAAGGCCAAGGATCCTGTCAACTCTCACAACATAGGTGTACCACTAATGTCCCCAAATTGGCTTTGGGACCCCACACACCTCGAACTGTACCCAGGATTTTGTGTGCTTGCATCTGTGTATTTCTCCAAGGCAAACTCCTTGGCTTTGATCTTCAGTGCTAACTTGGTCTGCAATTCCAAAAATATTCAATCACTGCTAAGCACGCTGTCTCAGCTGTCTTTACTTTGACTATCATTTTCGGAGTAACTCAACAATGACCAAGCCTGGCTATTTCTGCTGTTCCCTTCTGTGAGATACATGGCTGCAGGAAGGGCAAAGGCAGTGTGGGAAGGAAAAGGTGCTGGGGAGGCTGGAGCTGCCATACATCTGAATGAAAAAGTGCTTCTTGGGTTGGTCTGCCTTTGGAAGCGTTATTTCTCAGTTTTCCTCTTTTGTTGGTTTATTTTAACACCACATAAAACTTAGAAGTGGTGTGTCCTATGAAACAACAAACCATAGGGTTTAGGATTTTTCCAATGGTCAACTTTGGTAAATTCACATTTGTTTCATTTCAAGCTCACTATGATGGTTATTTCAGTGAGTTATATTTATAAGGTATCCCTTTATCTAGAAATTCTTCTTCCATGAGAAATTCCATTTCCTTGAAAAGTGAAGCTCTTTTAGGGATCAAATAATTTACTCTTAAAATGCGGTATCCCAAAGCAATGAAAGCCTAGAATGACACAGAGACCAAAGGTTTAAAAAAATGATCTCTATGAAGTCTTCTATTTTTAGTTGCTTACCAGTATTAAATAAGGAAATAAGCCAAAATGACATGACCCCCTTCTTTGATAAACACAGGGTCCAAGGCTGAGATCCCTCAGCTCTTACAGAAGCACCCCAAGGGCTGAATACTCTGCATCTCTTCCCCTTCTTCCCTCATTCACAACAAAACTGGACAATGAAAATGTCCCCATTAATTCATAGTATATGTATGGACTGGAAATAGAAACAAACAACAATAACAAATAATAGCAATAGTATTATTAATATTAACAAAAGTAGAAAATAATTAATATGTGCCTAAATGATTACATTGAAGCAATTTATTTACTGCTTACAACAATTCTATGAGGCAGAACATTTTTTACAGAGGAAGAGACCAGAAAAATAGAAGTAATACTTAACTATTAAGTCAGGTCCTCTCAGCTACAGTATCTGAGGAGCCTTACAGGCACCGTGCAGATGCCATCACTGATTTATTTTCCCGGGAAGCCAGAGAAAATCCCAACAACAAAACCAAACCACTGAGGAAATCACTAGTATGGGAACCAAGGGTCCAGGGTTCTATTCTTGTGCATCCAAATCTTTGTTACGTGACTTGGAATAAGCCCATAGGAACTCTGTCTTTGTTGTTGTTTTTTTCCTCCTTTATCAATGAAAGTTGGACTAAATCGTTCCACGGTCCCTTTCATGCCTAAACTATTGTGATCTTTGGGTATTTCACCAACTGATGACATCATAAATAACAATTGAAGAAAAATAGAGAAAAACTTACTAAAAATTTAAAGAAACATGCCAAGGGATGAGGAGGAAGCAAATATTAGTTGATCACCACTTGAGTAGACCCTTTGTAATTTACAGTTGCATATAAAAATATATTTTTATTTTGTAATTTATTTTTTATTGAGGTAATATTGGCTTATAACATTATGTAAGTTTCAGATGTGCAACATTATAAATTGACATCTGTATGTACTGCATTGTGCTCACCCCCAAAAGTCTAGTTTCCATCAGCATACAATTGAGCCCCTTCATCCCTCTACCCTGGTTCCCCTCTGCTAACCACCGATCTGCTGCCTCTATAAGCTTACTCTTGTTTTGTTTTCATTTTTATATTCTACATATGAGTGAAATCGTACAGCATCTGTCTTTTTCCATCTGACTTACTTCACTTAGCATAATAACCTCGAGGCCTATCCATGTTGTTGCAATAAAAAAATGATTTAACATTAGTTTGGGTTGTTAAAATAGAGACAATAGGCCCACATCACCAAACCAAGACTTACTACAACCCAACTTAATTAGAGTTCCAACCTCCCCCTGGAGTGGAATCTTAAATCAGTCCACCTGGTCAGCACTAGTGAGGTCATCTGCTTGATAGAGAGGGACACATCAAGTGGTTGCCACCCACATGACTCCAGCCAGGGCCAGGGACAAACTGCAACCGAGGTACGTGCCCTTAGCAGGAACCAAACTCGGGACTCTCTGGTCTGCAGGCTGATGCTCTAACCACTGAGCCAAACTGGCCAGGGCTGCTGTCCTCTAAAGGAAGGGAACACATACAATCCACTCTTTGCTAGTAACTTCCTTCTCCCACCCGCTTCTGCCTACAAAAGTCTTTCATTTTTGTACAGCTCCTATGAGCTCCTTTGTATTTATTTGCCAGATGGTTTGCTGCCTGATTTCATGAATCACTGAAGGCAATACAATCTTTAAATTTACTCAATTGAATATTGTTTTTACACAAGAGTATTGCATTATCAAATTCATTTTTTAAAAATAATTTGTAATTTTAGGCAAATACAGGCAAAAGATCAAGATTATCCAAAGTAGCTCTGGCCGGTTTGGCTCAGTGGTTGGAGCATTGGCCTGCAAACCAGAGAGTCCCGGGTTTGGTTCCCACTAGGGACACATACCAAAAAAAAAAGATTATCCAAAGTAAATTCCCTAACCTGTACTCCTATTTTTCTGACCCCAAGTTTTCTGACTATTAATATCCACCTTTTCAGTCGATCATGTTTAAAATAATCAGAGCTAAATGTTTCTTCTTCCTTAAGTTCATCCTCCAGAGCTCCTCAGGCCTCATCTCCAGTTGAAAAGCCTCAGCCGCGACCAGGGTCATCAGCCACCCTGGAGAACCCAGTAACCTTGAGCGTTAAATGAATGCTTATTATTTTAAGTCGCTGAATTTTGTTAACACAGAGTTAATTGTGTCAAAAGATAACTGATACATATAGTAAGATGATCAGAAAATGCTTAAGGACCCAAATCGAATGTTTACAATATTCATCTGCCTCCAATCTGATGCAGTGGGCATTAGACAGCCAGGAGCAGAGTGGGAGTGACGGGCCAGGCGCAGAGGTCCCAGGGCAGAAAGCCCCAGGTGCCCAGCAACAGACTGTTGTAAAGTGGGATCCCGCCCCCAGGGCGACCTTTCTTCCCCCCTAGGATATTGCTGGTCATGCAGTTTATTTATTTATTTTCCTTTTTGTTGAATTTATTGAGGAGATGCTGGTTAACAAAATTATACAGAATTCAGGTGCACAATTCTACAACACATCGTCTGTACAGTGTGTTCACCACCACAGTG